CAGAGGCTCGAGGCCGAAGTGGAAGGGCAGCCCCTTCCTGAGGCCTGGCTGCCTCGGCCAGCTTTGAGGCTCCTGCGGAGCCGTCGCCATTCCGTTTTCCGTGAGCTCCTGTTGGAGCACCTGGCTCGCTCCCTTCCCTTGCGCTGTCTGGAGATGGGCTGGGTCTATGCGCCGTGGACCAAGCAGCAACCACCTCGCCGAGGTGGACGTGGCACTCCTGCAAAGCAGACGCACAGCGTGTGCGCGCTCTGCGGGCACTGGGAGTACGACTTCCACGGGCACACGTGTTGCTCCAAGTGCAAAGGTGAGTACCTCGCCCAGCCTCAAGGCGGTGTTCGTGTTGCTGGTGATAAGCGCGGCGGTGGCCGCAGTGGTAAGAGCAAAGGGCAGGGGCAAGGCCCTTCACTCGAAGATGAACTCGAGCGGCATGCTGGCCTTTTCCCTGAGCGTGCTGATGCCCTCCGTGGTGCTCGGGGTCCTCTTCCTCGTGCACCTGGCCCTGAGCCTGTGGCATCGTCCGACAATGAGTTGGACGGGAAGGTGGCCAAGCAGCGCGCCGCCCTCGCTATGGCTGTTGAGCGAGATTCTAAGGCTGAGCGTTTGGCACTGTACGAGGTGGAGCAACGCCTGGCGGCAGTCCTTCGCCATAAGGACGCCTTGGCCAAGGCCGAGTTTGCGCGTGCCGAGGCTGTTGGGCAGTTGGAGCAAGCCGCCGCTGCCCATAAGGCCGCTTGTGAGGAGATGGACAAGTTCGACCCCCTGGAGTTTCGACGGCAGGTATTGGCTGAAGAACAAGCAGAGCGTGATCTACATGAGCGTGAACGCCGTGCTGCTGAGGCACGTGTCCATGCTGCCCCTGCTGCATGTGCTGCTGGTCATGTGGCGCCCGCCCCAGGAGGTGTTCAAGCTATGCACGTTGACGGTGGTAGCCTTCCTGCTCGACCCAGGTATGCACAACCCCCTGCTGGCGGCCCTGCTGCTGCTGGTGAAGTGGGTGGTGCTGCAGGCCCAGTTCCTGAGCCCCCTGGCCTTGTGGGCATGTCTCGGGAGGAGTTGCAGGATTGGTGTGCCACGAACAACCAGCGCTTCGAGTTCTGGATGCAGATTAAGGAGTTCAGGACCCACCTGGACCAGGATGCGGCTTCTGAGGCTCCCTCTGATTTGGGCGATGAAGAGCAACATCTTGTCGAACTCGAGCAACTCAAGAAGCGCAGCATCGACGCCGCCCTTACCCCTGATGACTTGGACAAGCTGGAAAAACTCATGCAGAAGCAATCCCAAATCAAGGCTGCCAAGCGCCTTCGCACTGTTCGAGATGGCGCCGCTGCCTCTTTCAACCGCGTCTTGGAGCAGACGCAGCCTATCGCCGCTGGTCCCGTTCATCGAGCACAGGCTGGTGGTGGACAAGCATCTGGCCTACAACGTTCCTAACCAGCTTGGCGCGCTTGAGGCGTCGAGGCTCCGCAAGCAGCCCTCGGCGATTGAATTGATGTTCTGCAATATCACCTCCTGGAACCAAGTGACTTTGGATTTCTTGCAGCAGATAAAGCCCTTGTGCGACGGCTTCTTTGTTGCTGAACATCATCTTCTGAAGGGCCTCTCGCGCGCCAAACGTAATGCAGCGCAGATCGGCTGGAGGCCGCATCTAAGACCAGCCCTCCCCTCCCCTGGAGGGGGCACTCATGGAGGAGTAGGAGCTGTGGTTTCCAAAGGTTTGTGTTTCCGACGTTTTTTGTCTTCGGATCCTAGCCTGGCTGATCTAGGCAGCGGCCTTAATTTGCAATTTTTGGAGCTCAAAACCAAAGACTGTATCATTGCTGTAGGTGTGATCTACCCAATTGCTGACCTGGGTTTGCAGGGGAAAACATCGAACGTATCCGTGCCGTTTCTGAGTTCCTTGGGGCCCTCGCTATCCCATGGCTTTTGATGGGGGGCTTCAACGTACCTGTGAGTGACATGGACCTGTCTGGTTTCCCTAAGCTTGCACGTGCACGCTGCCTAGTACCTGGCGATGTCGAGGTTACTTGTACCCAGGGACGCGGCACACTTATTGACTATGTTATCGCCTCGAGCGATTTGGCCGATTTCGTACATGTAAGTACTTATACTCAGAGCCCGTTCAAAACGCATGTCTGACTTAAAGTATGTATACAACATGAGGCTCTTGAACAATATATGTGGCAACGTGGTAAGCCGTTGCCTTTCCCTATCTGTCCTGGGCCTGACTTACCCTTGTCGCAGCATTTCCTGGCGTCTGCTGCTCAACTCGGGCGCGAAGATGTGCTGCCTGGTGTCCCTGGGTATCTTTTCAATGCATTGGTGCCGCATGCTCAGGACAATTTAAACGATGAACTTACCACTCTTCATCGCACTTGGTCTAGGGCGACCGAAGCCATGTTTGAGTCTCGCGCGGTTGACCACAGCGTGAGCCGGGTAAAACGAGGTGAATTTCATGTTTTTCGATACTCAACGATTGGACGGATGGGGCCCTGCTGGCCAGAGTTTTCGTGAACCTGAACTCGCTTTTTGGGCCCAGCTGTCGCAAAAGATGTTCGAGTATCGACTTTACCTGGCACGTAAGTCTGATCGTATGGTCGCGAGCTTAGGTAGCGTCCTTCAAGGTTTAGCGTCGCAGCTGGACAAATACATCAATGCCGACGATGCGTGCGGCATTGGCTGGTGGCGCGTCCAGTTTGTTGCTCTTCCCACTGAGGTCGAAGGCCTCGACGCCCTGACGGGCGCTATTTCTACTCGCGTGTGTGCTGCCTGGAAGGCCGCGCGGAGCTTGTCCAGAGCTCGCATGAAAGACTGGCTCCTGAAAGCCCTTCCCAAGGGTGCTAAAAAAGTGCATGCTTGGTTGAAGCATGATCTTGGGGATGCGCCCCAAGTTTTGTTGACCCCTCAGGGGGTCCGCCAGCTTCCTGGGGATCTCCTGGACTATCGGCAGGCTTTTTGGAGCCAGGTTTGGGATTCCCCCGATGGTAGGTCTATGCTCTCTGGAGTGCTGGACGCGCTCGGGCCTCGCGCCCTCGTGCCCCTTGAGACGTTTGACCCCTTGGAACCCATTGATATTTTGAAGGCGGCGAGGTGTTTCTCCAATTCGACTGCTGTTGGGGTCGACTCCTGGGCTCCTAGGGCTCTGGTTGATTTACCTCGGGATGCTGTTTTGGGGTACACGCATCTCCTCAATCAGTGTGAAGCTTCCTTGTCCTGGCCGTCTCAGGTTTATCTGAGTGTCATTGCCTTACTTCCCAAGAATATTGAGTGTGATCGTCCTATTTGTAAATGCCCTACCCTTTACAGGGTCTATTGTAAGGCTCGGAGTTCTGATCTTGATAGATGGACTTCAGACAGGTACAATTTTTGGGACACCGCTGTGAGAGGATCTAGTGCGCTCCAGGCTGCCTTACTTCGTGAGCTTGGTCACGAAGTAGCCCGTATTCTTGGGCTCTGCTCGGTCGGAGCCCATTGGGACCTCAAGCGGTTTTTCGACCCGGTCCAGCCGCGCAAGCTGATTGAGTTGGCTGTGAAGATGGACTACCCGCTCCACCTCCTCTACCTCGGTATTCTGATACATGAGTCCCCCCGAGTGCTTGAGGTTGGTGGTTTTGTGTCGGATATTATTCCTCCTGGGCGGGGTATCCTGGCGGGATGTATGCAGTCGATGTCTCGGGTTAAGATTTATTTGTATGATATCCTGGACCTGGTTCATGTCCAATATCGTCCTGCCCAGGTAGAATCTTAAATTGACGACGTCACCCAATCACAGGTTGGGTATATGAAGGATGTATTAAACTCTTTAGTTCCTGCCGCCATGTTGTTGGTCCACCAGCTTGAAGGAGTTGGTTGCGCTATCTCTGCCAAGTCTGCTCTCGTGCGCAGCCGTGCCGATCTTGGGCGCGAGTTGGCCGCCCGTTTCAGGGCGACAGGGTTGCGTGCCCAGTTGCAGGCTGCAACTCGAGATCTGGGGGTCATGACCACGGCAGGAAAAAAAGAGATCTACTGTGAAATTAATGCAGCGACGTAGCCAGGCCTCTAAGAAGGCCAAGAAGGTTGCGTTTCTCGCCGGCATTGTGGGCTCCGCTAGGCGTTTGTACAAACCTGGGGCCCTCGCTATTGGTTCGTGGTCCCACCAGGTGTTGGGGCTCACTCCTGGGCAAATCCAGTCTATGAGGGCCCAGGCGGCCATGTGTAGTGGTAGACGGAACCCTGGGGCCTGCGCTACCGCCGTCCTGGGGCTCATCAGTCCTGCCAAGGATGACCCCCAGTTTAGGCTTTCGCTATGAGCAGCTTGTTAGTTTCTATGATGTTTGGCAAGATCTTGGGCACGCTAAAAGGATGGAGGTTTCTCGTTGTTGGGACATTATTGTTGATGAGTTCAGTAAAACCAAACATCGGTGGCAATGTGTTCGTGGCCCTTTAGCTGCTACAGTCGCGGTGCTGCTCGACCTCGATGTGTTGCCGCATAGCCCAGTGTATTTGATTTTTCCTAATGGAGTGCACATCCGTTCCAGCGACCAGGCCTTCCCCCACACCCCCTGGAGCACGCTCATGGAGGTGTGCGGGGACATGTCGTGGAGCGGGGCTGCTAAACATTATGAAGGAGCTGGTTTAGGAGGAGGAGTGGATTTCACGGCCCCGCGTGCGTTTTTGAAGAAACTTGAAAAAGATGGCTCTTTTGAAGCCGCTGGTATGATTCGTAATGTTATGGCTGCTGGTTTCTGGGCTGAGGACCGTCTTGCGCAGGCTGGCTACGAGTCTTCCACGAATGGCAAGTGCCCTCGGTGCGGCCTCGAGGCCGAAACTGCTGCCCATCGCTTTTGGCGCTGCAGATGTAATGATGATATCCCCGACAGTGCGATCGACCGATCGAATGTCTTTAAAGCTGAAGCGTTGAGTTCTCCCGAATCCTCCTGTTTCTGGATGCGTGGGCTGCCGCCCTTATCCGCCAGTGTTGGCCACCTCCCTGAGCCCATGAGGCTTTCCTGGGATTGGGGAACGTTGAGTGCGGGTGCCCGTGTGAATGGGGGTGTTTGGGGAATCGATGGCAGTGGGGTAAAGTATCATAAAGACTGGCGTCTAAGGCGATGTGGATGGGCGATCGTCCACCAAGGTCCTGCTGGCCTGTTTGACGGCGTAGCTAGTGGAACGTTGCCGACTAAGGTGCAGTCTGCTGGGCGTGCCGAGCTATATGCGCTTTTACAGCTGGTGATGCGCTCGACAGGCAACGTCAGAGTTTATTGCGATAATATGGCTGTTGTGAAAGGTGCTCGTCGTCCCCTCCGTATGAAAGCTAAATCTGCCTTGCTTGATCTCTGGAAGGTATACCACGAGGTTCTGGGGGCTCGGGGCGGCACGGTTGATGTTCGTTGGACTAAAGGTCACCCCACCCAGGCTCAGGCGTTTCACATGGTTTTGAGTGACACTGAGTTTTACCCCAATAAATCTGCTGATTTTTTCGCGGGAAAGGCTGCAGATGCTGGCCAGGTGACAGAAGACGAGGCCCGTAGGACCCTTCTGGCCGATGAGCGGGCTTTCAAGGTTTTGGGCCGTCTCTTGTCTGTCCAAAAAGAGGTTTTGTTTAACTCTGATCGTGAGAAAGTGCGGCGTGTCGGCGGTACCCGTGCGTCTGTGCGATCAGTTGATGAGCGATTATGCAGACCCCGTGACTCGGGTCATGACTGTGTTACGCGCTCAACGTCCTTTAAGTGTCGCCTGTGTGCCCGCTCGTTTGGACGTCGAGGCCCTCTTTGTGAGTTCTGGCCTTGTATGTGTAAACCCCGTGCAGAGATAAATCAGCGAATTCAGGCCCTCCCTGCTAGGAGTGCACCTGCCCCTCCTCGTAGGGGGCCCTCACCTCCTCCTGATGATCTTGGGTCTTTGGGGGCGGGAGTGGGTGGGGGAATGGATCATCCAGTGGCCGAGCTATGCCATGCCTCGCATCAGCTCGCCACCTTTCGAGGAGTTTTGTTTTGTCAGGTCTGCGGTTGCCATTGTATTGAAAACCCGCGGAACCTGAATTCGGAGCGTTTGCCTCCCACCAAGGCTGGCCACGAAGTGCTCAGCTGTCTGAAGAGGGGATTGCCTCCTAAGTCTGGAGGCCGCTTCCCTGATTTGTGATGTGGCCCAGCGTGCCCCGCCTAGCTGCAGGTCACCACGCACAGAGGTAGAATATAATAGAATACCCCTCTCCTCCGCCCCTCGTCCTCCCCGTCCTCCTCGTCCTCCTTCTCCTTGGCCCCCCCCCGCCTCTCCTGGAATGACGCGGCGACGACAACTACCGCGGCGGCGCCCTCGGGGCCCTTCCGCGCGAAACTCCGGGAAAAACGTAGTCGCATACGCATGCTCCCTGCCCGGGATGTCCTGGGCATCGCTTTCGTGAGGGGGCTCCTCGAGCATCGGGGAATTCGAACGCGACCCGACGAGGGCGACCGCGACGTCGACGACGACGACGACGCAAACGATGACGACGACAACGACAATGTTTTCACTGCAGAATCCCCAGAATGTTCTGGACATCGCGTCCCCGAGGCCCCTCCCCGAACAACTCGGGGAATTCTCTGACCGCCCAACTTCGACGACGATGGCGACGACGACGACGAGGGCGACGACGACGACGCCGACCACGTCGACGACGAGGCGACGAAGGCAACGACGACGACGACAACGACGACGACGACGCCCACGAGGATGTTTCCTCCCCCGCCGCCCGAGTTTTTGGGCATTGCGCACGTGCTGACGCCCCCCCGGGCAGGTCAGGATATCCTCGCGCACCCCGACGACGGCGACTACCGCGACGACGGCGACGACGACTACCGCGGCGGCGCCCTCGGGGCCTTCCCGCGCGAAACCGAGAAAAAACCCAGTCGCATACGCATGCCCCCTCCCCAAGATGTCCTGGGCATCGCTTTCGTGAGGGGGCTCCTCGAGCATCGGGGAATTCGAACGCGACCCGACGAGGGCGACCGCGACGTCGACGACGACGACGACGCAAACGATGACGACGACAACGGCGATGTTTCCACTCCAGAATCCCCAGAATGTTCTGGACATCGCGTCCCCGAGGCCCCTCCCCGAACAACTCGGGGAATACTCGTGCCCCCCGACAACGACGACGCCGACCACGACGTCGACGAGTACGACGTCGACGACGACGACGAGCGCCAAGCTGGCGAGCACGCGCGCGCCCGTGCCCAAAACTATCCCGCCCAGCCATGCACGGGCTTAAACTTCCCCCGCCTCCTCCGCCTCCTCCTCCGCCTCCTCCTCTCCCTTCTCCCCCCCTTCCCCCTCCCCCTCCTCCTCCGCCCCTCGTCCCCCCCTTGTCCTCCTCCTCCTCCTCCTCCTCCTCCTCCTTGTCCCCCCCCCCCTCTCCGGGAATGACGCGGACGCCCCCTGCGGTTCCAATTTCGCGGGGCCGGGCGCGGTCTGGAACGCCGCCCGCCCGATAAGCATACCCCCCCAGAAGAGAGCCGGCCCGCCGACCCCCCCGCCCGCGAGGATCACCCAGACAATCAAAAACCTAGAACCTCGAAGTTCTACCCTCGTTTCCGCCGTCGGCGCCGCCGCCGCTGGGGTGGCCGCGGTTTGGGCGGCAAGCGCGCGCGTGGCTTGCAAGGACGCTGTCATTGATTGCGCTCGCCACGCGGCAATGCCTGGGAGCGGAACTATGCAATTCTACTGCAATGGTCACGTGACCACGTAAGTAGGCGGAAACGAAGATGATGCTGATGAAGAGGAGGGGCAGAAGGATATCTTGAGCATCTCGACGTGCGTGTCTGGGGTTCCCCGGTTGGCGTGTGTCGGGTTTCTCTGGGTCGTGGTTCCAAATTCTCGGGTTCGCATGGTCGCCGTTCCTCGGGTTCGGGCCTTCGGCGGTGCCAGGTTCGTGCCACCGTGTTCCGGGTTTTGCGCGTTTTCCCGGGTCGAGGCTTTTCCCTTCGGTGGAGCTCCCTATGGGGCCACGAAGCGCTGGACTGGGTGTGCGGGACGCATGCGGGCGGTAGCACTGGGACCTTCGATGGGGCTCCCTATGGGGCCACGAAACGCTGTACTGGGCGTGCGGGACGCATGCGGGCGGTAGCGCTGGGACCTTCGGTGGGGCTCCCTATGGGGCCACGAAGCGCTGTACTGGGTGGGTGAAACGCAGGGAGGAGGGGGAGGAGGGCCACGAAACGCTGTACTGGGTGTGCGGGACGCATGCGGACGGTAGCACTGGGACCGTAGGTAAGGCTCCCTAGTATGGGGCCACGAAGCGTTGCACTGGGTGGATGGAAACGCAGGGAGAAAAGGGAGGAGGGAGGAGGAGGGAGGAGTGGGAGGAGGAGAAGGAGAAGGAGAAGGAGGAGGAGGAGGAGGAGGAGGAGGAGGAGGAGGAGGAGTGGAAAGGATAACTGGAAGAGGGAGGAGGAGAAGGGGGAAGAGCAGGAGAGGAACGCTGGGATCGTCTCTTCAAAACGAAGTCCCAACACCACAGGATGGTTGGGAAAAACATTGAAAAACAAGCAAAAGAAAATCTACGATTTTGGGCTCTCTTCGGGCCGTCCCGGGACGCCTCTCGGACCTCTCTTGGGGTCTCTTGGAGGTTACCTGGGAGCCTCGAGAGCCGTTGGAAGGCTGACTTGGGCTGCTTGGGAGCGTTTTGGACCATCCTTTCGCATTCTGGGGGCTCCTGGGAGGCGTCTCGGGCCCTCCTGGAGCGCTGTGGAGGCCCCCTGGAACGCCCAGGGTAGAGGTACCGGGAGCGTTCGCGAGAAGTCACGGGGAGGTGTGGCATCGGGGGCCAGGGGGGGCTCTATGGGGGTGCCTCTCGGGGCATCTTCGGGGCCTCTTTTGGTGTTTTTTCGGGTCTCATGGGGGCCTCTTGGGGAATGGGCGCTTCTTGGAGCCTCTCGGGGTCTCCTGGGGGCCTCTTGGGCCAAAACGCTCGAATCTTCGGTTCCTCGTGTCCGTCTTGGGCGCCGACTCGGGGCGTTCTTGGGTTGTTTGGGCGCCTCGGTGGCCGTCTTGGCCCCCTCGTGGGCCGTCTTAGAGCCCTCTTGTGGGCATCCTCGACCGGCTTGGGTGCCTGTTGGGCCGTCTTGGACACAGTGGAAGCCCAAAAGGCAAACACGCCAAGAATATCAGTTTCCCCATAGGGAATCGACGATTGTTGCTTATTGGGGCTCAATTGGGGTGCCCATCGTGGCGTGTTCGGGGGCTCTTTTTGTGTTTTTGCGGGTCTCTTGGTGACCTCTTAGGGCTTCTTGGGCGCTTCTTGGAGCCTCTTGGGGTCTCCTGGGGCCTCTTGGGCCAAGTGGCTCGCATTTTCGGTTCCTCGTCCCCGTCTTGGGCGCCGACTCGGGGCGTTCCTATTTTCTTACTAGAACCACGCGCGCGCTTCGCGCGCGCTTAGGTTCTAGTCGCGGCTGCGCCTCACTTTGCGCGCCTCGACCGACGCCGCCGACGACGACCACGACGACGACGCCGGCGGGGACGACAACAACGACGGCGTTAGGCACACCGACGACGACGACGACGACGACGACGACGACGACGACGACGACGACGACGACGGCGGCGGCGAGGAGTGACGACGACGGCGTCGGCGAGGACGATCATGACGACGATGAGCACGACGACGACGACGACCATCACCGTGACAACGACGACGTCGGCGACAACGACGAGGTTAACGCACTGGCTTTGTCTGGAGCCGTCCTCCTCCGTCTGCTCATCCTCCTCCTCCTCCTCCTCCTTTTCCTTTTCCTCTTCGCCCTCCTCCCTCGCGTCCCCGCCGGGGGTGGACGGCGACGGCGGGGATGACGACGACGAGGACGAGGACGAGGACAAGGAAGACGACGACGACGACCACGACGACGACTACCCCAGGTCGAGGCCTCGTCCTGCACGTCCCCCTCCCTCCTCCTTGTCCTCCTCGTCCCCCTCCTTCTCGTCGTCCTTCTCCTTTCCATGCGTTCCTCCTCCTGCCTTCCTCTCCCTCCTCCTCCTCCTCCTCCTCCTCCTCCTCCTCCTCCTCCTCCTCCTCCTCCTCCTCCCTCCTCCTCCTCCCCTCCTCCTCCTCCTCCTCCTCTCCTCCTCCTACTCCTACGCCAGCTTTCTCTCCTCCTCCTCCTCCTCCTCCTCCTTCTCCTCATCCTCCTCCTCCTCCTCCTCCTCCTCCTCCTCCTCCTCCTTCTCGTCCCCCCCGGTCTTGGACAGCGCGAAGGACTCCTGCCAACCCATGGATTCTCATGGTTTGGGATCCTCTCGGGGGCTGTTTTGGGGCCTCATGGGAAGCCTCTCGGGGGCCTGTTGGGCGCCTCTTGGGGGCCTTTTGGGGCCTCTTCGAGGTTTCCTGGGTGCCTCTTAGGGCCCCCTGGGGGCCTACCGGGGCGCAGGGCCCGAAAAGTCGATCCGGATCCCCGTGAGACGAGGACGACGACGACGACGCCGACGACGGCGGTCGCAGCGGCGGCATCGGCATCGGCGGTGGCGGCGGCGGCGGCGGCGGCGGCGGCGGCGGCGACGACGACGACGACGACCTCCACGACGACGACAACACCGGGAAGCTGGGAAGCGGGAAACTGATGATCTTGAGAGCCGTTTTATGGCCTCTTGGGGCCTCACTTGGGCTTCTGGGGGGCCTCTAAGGGTTTTTGGGGGCCTCTTGGGCGCTTCTTGGGGCCTGTTGCTAGAATTTTCTGGTCGTGGTCCCCCTCTTGGGCACCTCTTGGGGCCTCCTTCGGGCGGTCTTGGGCGCCTCTTGGGCCGTCTTGGGGCTCTCTTGGGCCGTCTTGGGGCCCGCTTGGGGGCCTTTTGGCCGCTTTGGGGCGGTCTTGGAGGTCTCCTGGGCCGTCTCGGAGCGTCGGAAAGCCGAGAAGGCGAGAAAACCAACATCCTTCAAAAACAAATGAGAAATTGACGATTTTGGCCTCTCGGGGCTCTCTTGGAATGCCTCGAAGGGCTCTCTTGGGCCGTCTTGGCGGCCTTTTGGGCCGTCTGGAGGCCATCTGGGCCGCATTGGAACGGCATTTCGGCGATTCTGGGCTAACCTCGACCGTCATGGGGCCGCCTGGGACCCTCGTGTGTCGTTTTTGGAGCCGCCTTCGGGCCGTCGTGGGCGCCTTTTGGGTCGTCTTGGGGCTCTCTTGGGCCGTCTTGGGGCCCGCTTGGGTGTCTCTTGGGCCGCTTGGGGGCGGTCTTGGAACCCTCCTAAGCAGTCTTGGAGCGTCGGGAAACCGAAAAGGCGAGAAAGCCAAAATCCTTCAAAAACTACTGGGACATTGACGATTCTGGCCTCTCGACCACAAGACAGAGCACAGGAGGACCCAGGAAGAACCCCAAGGGTGGAGGGAAGAAGGTTCAATAGGTGCGCCAAAAGGGCGCCAACTGGCCCGTGGAATAATGCGTAGACGGGCCAAAGAGAAAGCCCACGGGGGGTCCAAGAAGGCTTCGAGAGGAGCCCAAGCGGCTGCAAATCTGATTTTTCTGATGAAAAAGAGGCACACGAGCGCACCCAGATTGCCCGAAGACTGCGTACAGGTGAAACCGAAATATGCTTCAAAACGCAACCAAGAGCGTGCCCGAGAGGGTTCCAACACAGTCCGAAGAAAGGATGCCAAAGGGGGTTCTGTTGAAAGATATATTTCGGGCCGTTTTGGGCCTCTCCCTCCGGGCCTTCTTGGGGGGCCTTTGGGGGCTTTTTTTAGCCGTGTTGGGGCTCTTTGGGGCCACCTTGCAGCCTCTTGGGTCGTCCTGGGAACCTTGGGCCGCCTGGGGCCCGCTTTGGGCTGTCTTGGGCTCTCTTGGGGGTTTCTGTAGTCATGTTGTGGCCCTCTTGCGTGCATTTCGGGCCTCTCTGGGGCGCTTCTTTGGCCGTCGTCGTCGTCGTCGTCGTGGTCGTCGATCTTTAGCCAAACGGCTTCCGGAATATTTTGGCCAAGCGGCTCGGCGTCCGACGCCGCGCAGAGGTCGACAATATGCGGCGGCACGTTTGAAGCGATTTTAGCGTTCTCATTTGTTTGGCTTCCAAAAGGCCCCCAAGATGGCCCCAAAACAGCCCAAGAGGCGCCCAAGAAGGCCCCAAGACTGCCCAAGAGGGCCCCAAGATTGCCTAAGAGGCCTCCAATAAGGTCCCTAGAGGGTTCCAAGACGGCCCAATAGACATTCAAGACTGCCCTGGACCGCCCCAAGAAGGCCCCAAGGCGGCCCAGAGAGGCCTCAAAGACGGCCTCCGCAGGCGTCAGACGACAGAAGACGGCCCAAGAGGCCCCGAGAAGCTCCCAAGAGGCCCCCAAGAGGCCCTCAGGAGGCCCCCGAGAGGCCTACTTCCTCCTCCTCCTCCTCCTCCTCCCTCCTCCTCCTCCTCCTCCTCCTCCACCTTTTGCTCCTGCGTCTAATCCTCTCCCTCTTCCTCCCCCAAGTGTTCCCCAGGGGTTTCCACAACGGCTGTGGGAACACATAGCCCAATACCTTGGACAAACTTTGGCCCGACGTTTGGCCACATAAACGTTTCCAATAAGGCAAGGGGGCGGTGGTGATTCGCATTAGGCGTCTTCAATAGAGACAAGAGGTGTCACAAGAGCTGCGCTGGCACGGTGGCGGGGCATGCCGCAGACAGCTGAATATAATTATCCCGGCAAAGCAACCTAACAGCGATGTGTAGAAGCATATCTGAAAGCATTCCCCTTAAGATTCAGATGAAAATCCAGTTGTCGAATTCTGCTGTTCTCGCAGTCGTAGTCGCATTCGCGATGACAGTCGCAGCGGCAACGGCAGTCGCAGTCACAGCCTCAGCCTCAGCCTGCCTCCTCCTCCTCCTCCTCTTTCTCCTGCTCCTCCTCCTCCTCCTCCTCCTCCTGCTCGTCCTCGTTCTCGTCCTCCTCGTCTTGCTCGTCCTCCTCCTCCTGGTGCTCTCTCTCCTCCTCCTCCTCCTCCTCCTCCTCCTCCTCCTGGTGGTCCTCGTTCTCCTCCTCCTGGTGCTCTCCCCCCCCCCCTCCTCCTCGTCCTCCTCCTCCTCCTCCTCCTCGTCCTCCTCCTCCTCCTCTTCCTCCTCCTCCTCCTCCTCCTCCTCCTCCTCCTCCTCCTCCTGGTAGTCCTCCCCCTCCCCTCCTCCTCTTCCTCCTCCTCTTCCTGGTCGTCCTCGTTCTCGTCCTCCTCGTCTTGCTCGTCCTCCTCCTCCTGGTGTTCTCTCCTCCTCCTCCTCCTCCTCCTCCTCCTCCTCCTCCTGGTGGTCCTCGTTCTCCTCCTCCTGGTACTCTCCCCCCCCTCCTCCTCCTCCTCGTCCTCGTCCTCCTCCTCCTCCTCCTCCTCCTCCTCTTCCTCCTCCTCCTCCTCCTCCTCCTCCTCCTCCTGGTACTCCTCCCCCTCCCCTCCTCCTCCTCCTCCTCCTCTTCCTGGTCGTCCTCCTCCCTGGTCGTCCTCCTCCTCCTGCTCGTCCTCCTCCTCCTCCTGCTCGTCCTTCTTCTCCTGCTCCTCCTGCTCCTCGTCCTGCTCCTGCTCGTCCTCGTCCTCCTGGTCTTGCTCGTCCTCCTCCTCGTCGTGCTCTTGCCCCTGCTGAAAATGTGGCCCAGGAATGGGAGTTCTGGGAAGTCGAAGAGCACGAAGTTGCCTACAGTTGGCTACGGGCATTCAAAATGTGGCCCGGGAATGGAGTTCTGGGAACTCGAAGAGCACGAAGTGGCCTACAGTTGGCTCCGGGCATTCAAAATGTGGCCCGGGAATGGAGTTCTGGGAACTCGAAGACCAGGAAGTGGCCTACAGTTGGCTCCGGGCATCCAAAATGTGGCCCGGGAATGGAGTTCTGGGAACTCGAAGAGCACGAAGTGTGTGACTGTTGCATCCGGTTATTCTAAATGTGGCCCGGGAATGGCGTTCTGGGAACTCGAAGAGCACGAAAAGTGTGACTGTTGCATCCGGTTTTTTTAAAGGTGGCCCGGGAATGGCGTTCTGGGATCTCGAAGAGCACGAAGTGTGTGACTGTTGCATCCGGTTATTCAGAATGAGCCTGGGAATGGAGTTCTGGGAACTCGAAGAGCACGAAGTGTGTGACTGTTGGTGAAAAACGAGGTGGACTCAACCCGCCCGGCAACTCCCAACACCTGCCCGGACCCCCCTGTGGAGTGATCTGTGAGCTGTTTTTAGCCCATTAGAAACCTATCAGTCTTCGCTGTTAGGTAAAAACGGTGTTCGTACCTTCTCTGATATCACGAGAGTCCTGAGCCAAATCCAGTAGGTGGGCCTCAGGGGCGCACTTGGGCTGTTTTGGGGCGTCTTCAATAGAGACAAGAGGTGTCACAGGAGCTGCGCTGGCACGGCGGCGGGGCATGCCGCAGACAGCTGAATAGAAAAACGGTGTTCGTACCTTCTCTGATATCACGAGAGTCCTGAGCCAAATCCAATAGGTGGGCCTCAGGGGCGCACTTGGGCTGTTTTGGGCGCGTCTTGGGCCGCCTTGGGGCTCTCTTGGGCCGTCTTGGGGCCCTCTGGGGCGCCTCTCCGGCTGTCTTGGGGTAGTATTGGGGGCTTTTGATGTCGTCAAGAAGTGTACGACACTGGAAACAATTGATATGGTAAAAATTCACGTTTTACGAAGGGAACGGGGCTATTTTTGCAACTTGGAGATCTCTTCGAGCGCGTCTTGGAGGCCTTTTGGGGCGTCTTGGGGGCTTCTGAAGCCGTCTGGAGGCAATGTTTGGCGTCTTGGGCGACCTTTGGGCGTATTAAATCCTTTCTGGTAGCTTTTTGTAAGCCTCAGGGGCGCACTTGGGTTGTTTTAGGCGCCTCATCGGCCGTCTTGGGGCTCTCTTGGGCTGTCTTGGGGCCCTCTGGGGCGCCCCTTAGGTTGTCTTGGGGCGGTCTTGGGAGCCTCTGATGTGGTCAAGAACTATACGACAGCGAAAACAATTGATGTAGTAAAAATATACGTTTTGCGACGGGAATGGGGCTATTTTGCCCTTTTGGAAAATCTCTTCGTGCGCGTCTTGAAGGCCTTTTGGGGCGTCTTGGCGGCTTCTGAAGCCGTCTGGGGCGATGTTGGGCGTCTTGGTGCGACCATTGGGCGTCTCGGGTCGCGTTTGGAACGTCCCGAGTCCTTTCTGGTAGCCTTTTGTGGGCCTCAGGGCCGCACTTGGGCTGTTCTGGGCGCCTCTTGGGCCGTCTTGAGGCTCTCTTGGGCTGTCTTGGGGCCCTCTGGGGCGCCTCTTGGGCTGGCTTGGGGCTGTCTTGGGGGCCTCCGGCGTCGTCATGAACTGTACGGCAGCGAAAACAATTGATGTAGTAAAAATATACGTTTTACGAAGGGAACGGGGCTATTTTTGCCTTTTGGAGATCTCTTCGGGCGCGGCTTGGACGCCTTTTGGGGCGTCTTGGGGGCTTCTGAAGCCGTCCGGAGGCAATGCTGGGCGTCTTAGAGCGACCTTTGGGTGTCTCGGGTCTCTCTTGGAGCGTCTTGGGGCTCTCCCGGCGCTTTCTAATGGCATTCTGTGGGCCTCCGGCGCCTCCAGAGCCCCCGGTCCCCACATTTGCGGTCGTGGTCCCGGCCCCGGGCCCCCGGACCAGGTGCGCCGTTATATGTATACACAACTTCACTTCAACTGCTGGCTGCCCGAAGAAATCGAGAAAACGGCACTGGTTCGAGAATGGAATGCCTGCCAACACCTCCTCTTTGGATTGGGCAATTGTCATCCACTCGTACAAGGCCTCACTGCGATGCCACTGCATCAATCACCCCAACAGGGCCGCAGCCGGCAAGACGTGACCGAAACTCTCGGAGTCGGTGCGTCAGCCCTGACGGGGCATGACTGTAAAGAAGCGCAAGAGCGAAGGAGGGGCAAGGGGAGGAGAAGGAGGAGGAGGAGGAGAAGATGAAGGGCCACGAAATCTACAAATGTGGAAAATTGCTGTCCGCGTGGCGATATTAAGGCGAAATCTCGCCAGTCCCAGCTCAAAGCCAATCACCACCGAAACCACTCAGTCAGAACGCAACCCCTCAAAGCTGAACGAAGTCGCCCACCCTTCACGTTCGACCCAGCGGATCGGCTCATTGACCCTCGCAGGATGGCCAGCTTGATGGTGGCGGATTTGACGCCGACCTGCTTCCAGCCTGGATAAGACCGTCGCATGCGAGCAAGCTGCTGCTAGGACTCAGGATATAACATTTTGCTGATAGGGCTCAGAAGGTTGCACCCTTGTGCTTCATGACAACTACTTGACAAAGAAGCGCGTGCAAGCTGTGTAGAGGGAGAGGGAGTGACGACAGACGATAATGGTCTCCGATAGGAGCGACAGGACAGAAGATACGCCCGCGTAGTGTGGGCATGATGCTCACTCAGACAGATGCTTGGCGGCTGGAAGGCGGCACGCGCGCCAAACTCGCTGGCCTCCAGGAAGGCAAATGGTTGTTCTTTCCGTCCGTGCCTCCTTCCCTTTCCCACCTTCTCCGTCTCCTTCTCGTTCGTCTCCCCCTCCTCCTCCTCATCCTCCTCCTCCTTCTCCTCCTCCTTCATCTCTTCCTCCTGCGTAAAGTAAGTTGACTCGAAGAGTTTCCCCTTGCCTTTGTTCCCTTCCCCGGCCGTGGGGGGGGGGGGAAGCCCGGGGGGAGCCCGGGGGGGGGGTCCTGGGGGGGGTTCGGGGGGGGTCCGGGGGGGGTGACGGGGGAGGTCCCGGGTCAAAATGCCACCTCCCTCCTCCTTGGGGGTCACGGGGGAAGCCCGGGGGGGGTCCTGGGGTCCCGGGGGTGGTCCTGGGGGGGTCCCGGGTCAGAATACCACCTCCCTCCTCCTCCTCCTGAGCGTCTTTTGCCACCACCTTCTCCATATCCTTTTCGTTGTCTCCCCTCCTCCTCCTCCTCCTCCTCCTCCTCCTCCTCCTCCTCCTCCTCCTCCTTCTCCTTCTCCTTCTTCTTCTTCTTCTACTTCTTCTTCCTCTTACTCCTCTTCCTCTTCCTCTTCTTCTTCTTCCTCTCCTCCTCCTCCTCCTCCTCCTCCTCCTCCTCCTCCCCCTCCCCCTCCCCCTCCCCCTCCTCCTCCTCCTCCTCCTCCTCCTCCTCCTCCTCCTCCTCCTCCTCCTCCTCCTCCTCCTCCTCCTCCTCACACACACACATCCTCCGCCTACCCTGTCACGTTGTCCTTTAGCTCCTTCCTGTGATCACACATCCCGTCGCCATCGACGGCCAAAACCTTCAGGGTCGGCGGCACCGGCCGTAGGGCCTTCAAGCTATTGGTATGAGCATAGAGAAACGTTTTGCGAATTCGCGCCACGTGCAGTGTACGCACAGCACTTTCGCCAGATATACTATCATGTATTATCATGTCGCAGAGACAAGGGCGTCCCTGCGCACGAGTTGTCAGCTCGACGAGTCCGTGGCGCCGACTGGGAACTCGAGGAACAAGAGCAGAAGCAGGAAGGTGGAGGGACGGGGGGTAAACGTGCAAAATCTTCTTGAGGCAAAGGGGAACAACTACTTCACGAAATTAACTGAGTCCCATACAACTCGGATCCGTGGACCTGATGCAAAAGTTCACGGGCCTTGCTGAGCATATTCTCCCGTGTCACTGTGCCTCCCGTCAAGAAACGGTCCGCAGACTGGATGTTGGAGTGCGTGCCGTCCCAATGGCCATCGCGCCCATGCATCACACGCCAATTGTTCACCACCACGATCTGGCCCGCTTCAACCCGCAAACGACGCACGAACTCATCTGAATGGATCATCTGTCCAAATTTCAGATAGGCCGCATACCACGGCTTGAAGATGTCGAACGGAAGCTCCGACGGAATCCGGAAGACCTCGTTGTACTGCGTGCGAATGATGCCCCCTGCGTCGTCCAGCTGGATGATGGGCTTTCCTGACATCACGCACAAATTCACTGTGTGGCCTTGGTCGGCGTCTTGCCGGCTCGCAGCGGTAAACCTCCGCTGGGGGCTACCGTATCGGCTGAGGAGCTCGAACGCTTCAGGATCGCGCTCGCGCAGAGCCTCGCAGACAGCAGAGGTGTCGACAAGCGTATTCACGCCGTAACCCCTCGCCGTGTGCATCACGAGGAAGAGGGCCGGGATGCCATGGTTGGGCAACGACTGGTCGGTGTGGTTATTGAGCTTCAGCGTGGGCGCGTAGGAAATCGAGGCAGCGCCCTCCTTCGGCGCAATCTCCCAATTCGCCTCCGTCCGCGATGGGTCCTTCTGCAGGCCGTTGAAACAGGCGTCGGCGAAGGCGTGGAGAGCAGCTGGGCCTGGCGAAGGCACGCCGGTGATCTTGAAGGCGCCGTCGCGGAGGAGGACCTGGAGCATCTCGAGGTTCCCGGCGGGCGCCACGACTTCCTCGTGGGTCATCTCCTGGAACGCTGGGCCAGAACTGTTCGTCCACAAGTTCACCTGGGCTTTGCCTGGGGACCTGATTGGGCGCCCGAGTTATCCGGGGTAACTCGGGTCCGGGGTAACTCGGGTTTGGGTTCCCGAAAAACGAACCCGAGTTATCCCTGACCCGAGTTACCCCTGGTTCGTCCACAAGTTCACCTGGGCTTTGCCTGGGGACCTGACGTCAGGGAAGCCGCAGTACGGCTTGAGCCAGTCGGTGTCGACGAGCGGCCTCCGGCTCTCGCCGCCCAGGCCGTGCGCCACGGTGCCCGCGTAGCTGCGGAGGAAGTGCGCGTCGAACCTGCCGCTGTCGCCGTCGCTGAAGTCGACGCGGAGGCCGCCGTCGGCAGTGGTTTGCGTCGACGTCGCGTGGAGGTCGGCTGGGCACCCCTGCACGAGCAGCGTCTTGCCGAGAATCCGCTCGCTGGCCGCGTTCACGAAGACATCCGTGCGGCACGCGTCTCGAAGCCAGAGGGCGTGGAAGCGGAAGGCCGCGCCGTCGTGGAAGCAGAGGTCCACGCAACCAGCGGGACCGACCTTCGCCTGCAGGACGGAGTCGAAAGAGGCCTTGGTCGACTGGGGCCTCGCCGCCACCCGCTGGCACGCCCCCTTCGCGTGCGCGAGCCTGCGCGCCTGCCGCGATGGCACCCCAGACGTGCTGAGGCCCATCGCTCGCGCCAGCGCGAAGCGCAGCGCCATCGCGACCCGGCTGGGGAAGAGACGATGTACCTGCAGTCAAAAACCCTAATAAGCACGCGCGGCAAGGACGCAAGACCCCTGGAATCGGGGGCCACATGCGAACCCTACCCTTACCCCCCACGATTTCTGAGGGGGAGGGTGGGGTTCACTTCGCTCGGGAGCTCCCGAACGAAGTGAACCCCACCCTCTCCCTCAGAAATCGTGGGGGGTAGGGGTAGGGTTCGCATGTAAGCCCCTATGGAAGCCGAAAATGGGATTTTTCGTCAAGCGGGCAAGCGAAAGAAGCCAAGGACGAGCCGCAAGAGCAAGGAAGAGCAAGGACGCAAGGGTACCCTGAGCAAAGTCGCGCGTCCTTATTAGGGTTTTTGACTGTACTGTGCCTTTCCAAGGCCGGCAAGAGGCCCACCGCTTGAGCCAGAGCGGCCACGGACGCAGCCTCGGGGCGCTCTTGGGCGGCCTGGGCGCCTCGGGGGCCGCCCTGGCCCCCTCATGGGCCGTCTTGGGGCCCCCTTGGGGGCATCCTCGACCGGCTTGGGTGCCTCTTGGGCCGTCTTGGACGCAGTGAACGCCCAAAAGGCGAACACGCCAAAAATAGCAGCTTCCCTCTAGGAGATCGACGATGTTTGCTTGTTTGAGGCTCTCTCGGGGTGCCTCTTGGGGCGTTTTCGGGGCCTCCTTGATTTTGGCTTCTGCGGGCCGCCTCTCGGACCTCTCTTGGGGTCTCTTGGAGGTTACCTGGGAGCCTCGAGAGCCGTCGGAAGGCTGACTTGGGCTGCTTGGGAGCGTTTTGGACCATCCTTTCGCATTCTGGGGGCTCCTGGCAGCCATCTCGGGCCCTCCTGGAGCGCTGTGGAGGCCCCCCGGAACGCCTGGGGGAGCGGCACCGGGAGCGTTCCCGAGATGTCACGGGGTGGTGTGGCCCCCGCGGCCGGGGGGGCTCTACTGGGGTGCCCCTTGGGGCGTGTTCGGGGCCATGGGGGCCTCTTGGGAAGTGGGCGCTCTCTGGAGCCTCTTGGGGTCTCCTGGGGACCTCTTGGGCCAAAACGCTCGAATCTTCGGTTCCTGGTCCCCGTCTTGGGCGCCGACTTGGGGCGTTGTTGAGCGGTTTAGGCGTCTCGTGGGCCGTCTTGGCCCCCTCGTGGGCCGTCTTGCAGCCCTCTTGGGGGTGTCCTCGACTGTCTTTGGTGCTTCTTGGGCCGTCTTGGACGCAGTGGAAGCCCAAAAGGCGAACACGCCAAAAGTATCAGTGGCCCTATAGGAAATCGACGATGTCTGATGACTTGGGGCTCTATTGGGGTGCCTCTTGGGGCGTCTTCGGGGCCTCTTTTGGTGTTGTTTCGGGTCTCATGGGAGCCTCTTGGGGCGTTTGGGTTCTTCTTGGGCCCCTTGGGGTCTCCTGGGGTCTCTTGGGCCAAAAGGTGCGAATTTCCGGCTCCTCGTCCCCGTCTTGGGCGCCGCCTTGGGGCGCTCTTGGGCGGTTTGGGCGCCTCGTAGGCCGTCTTGGCCCCCTCGTGGGCCGTCTTGGGGCCCCCTTGGGGGCATCCTCGACCGGCTTGGGTGCCTCTTGGGCCGTCTTGGACGCAGTGAACGCCCAAAAGGCAAACGCGCCAAAAAGATCAGGTTTCCCATGGGAAATCGACGATGTTTGCCTATTGGGGCTCTCTCGGGGTGCCTCTTGGGGCGTCTTCGGGGCCTTCGGAAGCTTTTTTGGCGTCGTGGGAGTCGTCTTGAAAGGCGTCTGGAACCATCGCTGCGGCCTCCTGGGGCCTCCCTGCAGCCTCTGGGGGCCCTGTTGGCCCTGGGTCGCCGAAGCCCAATAAAAACACAGGGAATACAACGCCCAGTCCCCCCATGCGCCGTCGAGGTCGCGGTCCCAGGCCCCTGTGCCTCGTGCGCGGGGATCTCTCTCTCTCTCTCTCTATACATACATATTATATACATACATACAAACATACATACATACATACATACATACATACATACATACATACATACATACATGCATGCATGCATGCATGCATGCATGCATACATACATACATACATACATACATACATTACATGCATGCACGCACGCATGCATGCATACATACATACATGCATACATGCATACATGCATACATGCATACATGCATGCATACATGCATACATACATACATAAATGCATACATGCATACATGCATACATGCATACATGCATACATGCATACATGCATGCATGCATACATACATACATACATACATGCATGCATGCATGCATGCATGCATACATACATGCATACATGCACACATGCATGCATGCATACATGCATACATGCATGCATGCATGCATGCATGCATACATACGTACATACATACATACATACACACATACATACATACGAACATACATACATGCATACATACACACATGCATGCATGCATGCATGCATACATACATACATACATACACACATACACACATACACACATACACACATACACACATACACACATACATCCATACATCCATACATCCATACATCCATACATACATGCATACATATATACATACATACATACATACATACATACATACATACATACATACATACATACATACTAGAACCACGCGCGCTTCGCGCGCGCTTAGGTTCTAGTCACTCCCGCGACCACGGTCAACACCGCCAATGCCGCCACGGCTACCACCGCCCTTTCCGCCATCACCGCGGTCAGGACCATTTTCTGATTCCATGTCCATTCTGGGCATGACCACCCCATCCACAACGATTGCGCTGTCCACGACCACTATAACGGCCATTGGTTCAACCTCTGCCTGTACCGCCACCAATATCACTACCATTGCCACTGCCGCGAATTCACGACCACTATCATTGCCACCACGGCAAGTGCCACCGCCACGACCATCCTAATCGTCGGTAGGACCACAATCGGCGCACGAACTGAAGCCAACTGCAGCCATCACCACCACGACCCCTCCGGGGCTCTCCTGGGGTCGTCTTCTGGGCCCCTTGGCGCTGTCTTGGGAGCCTTTTGGGGCTCTCTTGGAGCCCTCTTGGGCCGTCTTGGGGCTCTGATGAGATGTCTTGGGGCCCTCTTGGGCCGTCTTGGAGCTCTCTTGGGCCACTCTTGAAGGCCTCTTGGCCGAATTGGGGATCCCACTGCTTCTTCTCACATCCTCGCTATTCAGCGTTCACTTCTCTTCGCCTATGCTCGTTTCCTCGCCCTTCCTCCCCGCGTCCTTCTGCGCACTTGTCCTGCTCAGCCTTCCCTCTTCTTCCTCCTCGTCCTGATCTTTTCTGCATCTTCCCTCTATCCCCCTGCTCCTCCTCCCTTCCTCCTCTTCCTTCTCCGGTTCGCGGCTCTGTCTGGCGCCGCAGGGACTCACGGCGGCCAAGAGGATGGCGGGAACCAGGATTTTGGAGAGATCGAGGCTGGAAAAGCCCGAAATCCCGGTTCCCGGCTCTGTCTGGCGCCCAAGGGACCCACGGCGGCCCAGAGGATGGCGGGAACCATGATTTTGGAGAGATCGAGGCTGGAAAAGCCCGAAATCCCGGTTCCCGGCTCTGTCTGGCGCCGCAGGGAATCACGGCGGCCCAGAGGATGGCGGGAACCAAGATTTTGGAGAGATCGAGGCTGGAAAAGCCCAAATTCCCGGTTCCCGGCTCTGCCTGGCGCCCAAGGGACCCACGGCGGCCCAAAGGATGGCGGAAGCAGGATTTTGGAGAGATCGAGGCTGGACAAGCCCGAAATCCCGGTTCCTGGCTCTGTCCGGCGCCCCAGGGACTCACGGCGGCCCAGAGGATGGCGGGAACCAGGATTTTGGAGAGATCGAGGCTGGAAAAGCCCAAATTCCCGGTTCCCGGCTCTGCCTGGCGCCCAAGGGACCCACGGCGGCCCAAAGGATGGCGGAAGCAGGATTTTGGAGAGATCGAGGCTGGACAAGCCCGAAATCCCGGTTCCTGGCTCTGTCCGGCGCCCCAGGGACTCACGGCGGCCCAGAGGATGGCGGGAACCAGGATTTTGGAGAGATCGAGGCTGGAAAAGCCCAAATTCCCGGTTCCCGGCTCTGCCTGGCGCCCAAGGGACCCACGGCGGCCCAAAGGATGGCGGAAGCAGGATTTTGGAGAGATCGAGGCTGGACAAGCCCGAAATCCCGGTTCCCGGCTCTGTCCGGCGCCCCAGGGACTCACGGCGGCCCAGAGGATGGCGGGAACCAGGATTTTGGACAGATCGAGGCTGGAAAAGCTCAACTTCCCGGTTCACGTCTCTGTCTGGCGCCCCAGGGACCCACGGCGGCCCAGAGGATGGCGGGAACCCAAATTTTGGAGAGATCGAGGCGGGAGAAGCCCGAAATCCTGGTTCCCGGCTCTGTGCTCTCTGCTGCTCTGCTGCTCTCTGCTGCTCTGCTGCTCTGTGCTCTCTGCTGCTCTGTGCTCTCTGCTGCTCTGTGCTCTTTGCTGTTCTGTGCTCTCTGCTGCTCTGCTGCTCTCTGCTGCTCTGTGCTCTCTGCTGCTCTGTGGTCTCTGCTGCTCTGTGCTCTCTGCTGCTCTGTGCTCTCTGCTGCTCTGTCCAAACGCGATTGGTGTTCGCTCGATTGGTTTTCGCTTGAACAGATTACTTTTTCGCTCGAACGAGCGTCTTTTCGCTGGAACGAGATCCATCCTCTGGCAGACACAGGGACTGTACACAAAGCTGCCAGTCGCGTGCGGCACGACAACTGGAAGGCGCCTGGCGAGGCAAAAGATAACGCTACGGAGGAGAGCGGGTGAGAGGACGACGAATGGTTACCATCCTTCGACAGATCTCTGCACGGGAAAAGAGCACTGCACGTGCTTGGCATAGGACAGATGCTGCGAAGCGTGGCGAAGTTCGTTAAACATCGGAAACAAGTCGCCAACATATCTAAGATGCTTACAAGATAGTGCCATGTGAGGGCATGCATCAGCTTGGCCTGACAAAGCCCATTGTCATTGTGGCAAAAGGACTGCATGGCTCCTACTGCAGTCTATCTCGCGAAAATACTCGAACGAAAGTGCGAGTACAGGGAGAAACGATGATGGGGAGGCTGGGAATAATATGAGGAAGACCAAGCAAACACTCAGGCCGCTCCGCACACGCACATTCAGAACGTGACAAGCGGGTCACCGAACGTAGCTGGAAAGACTGCCGCGCTTTCCAGAAAAACTATACATAGCTCAACAAAAACAAGGAAATCTTGGAAGGACTGTTTGGGGTTCAACCTGGTAGTCATGAGCAAGAGTGGTTGACCTCGGCGAACTCCACCAGGTCCTGCTTACGGCCACCAATGCTGCAACATCCGTAGCCTGGCAGAAACCGCTCACTGGATTCGTCCCAACTCGTGCGGCCTTCGCAGACATCGAAATCAAACAATGCCTGCTGCTCCACCGACAAGGCCGGCGGGTCGTCGAAATCGCTCTCCGAGTGTGTTTTGAACCGCGACGTGTCTTCTGCGGAACTCACTCTGGGACGGCAGAGGCTCGGAACTCTTTGGTGAAGAACCTCGTCGAAGTCGATTGTGCTGAACCATGGGTGCTTCTTGATGCCCGCGACGCCTTCCTCCATACATCCTAATCGCTGCGACCTTTCCTTCAAGAGATTCCTGATCAAATCCTGGACCTCGGCCGGTAAGTGTCTCGGAATACTGTACTCGCCCTTCACAATCTTCTTGTAAGTGCCCTCTTTCGTGTCAGCGTGGAAGGGCATGTCGCACGCGAACAACACATATGTTAGGACGCCCAATGCCCACCAGTCCACAGCGCACCCATGCCCCGTTCTCTGGACCACCTCTGGTGCCATGTACTCGTAGGTCCCGCACTTAGTCCACAGAAGCGGGTCGGCCACCTTGGCGAAACCGAAGTCCGTGAGCACCAAGTGGCCCAGTCTATCCAGCAACACGTTCTCAGGCTTGACGTCCCGATGCGCCACCTTCTTCGAGTGCATGTGCTCGATTGCAAGGATCAGCTCTGCGACCCACAGCTGCCCCTGCATCTGTGGTATATTCCACTTTTTGATCACGGTGGACAGCTCCCCACCGTTGACGAAGTCCATCAGCATGTACATCGACCTCTCATCCTGCCAGCACGCCCTGAGTCTGACTAGAAATGGATGGTTTACCATGCGGAGCACCTTGATCTCGTCCTTTTGGCAAGCCCGAAGTCGGTACGGAAGAACAGGTACTATGTCCAACAGCAGGTGTTGTAAAAAATCAACAGCGGCCGATGTTGGGCAGGCGACTCTTGTCTAAAAAAGAAAACGCCTGCTGCGACGCCGACAGCGAGTACTGTTCAAAATGGACAGGGGTTGCTGTCGCTCTTCGTCCTTATTCTTACTCTACCCATTTCGATCGTACCCGTCCTTGATCTGAGTCACCATCTTCTTTTTGATCAGCGTTGCCTTATGGGTGATCTTCAGGGCCATGGGTGTGGTCTCGGGACTGTCCTTCACCTTCGCCACGCGAACGCGGCCGAAGCTTCCGACGCCGACCGTGGCACCGAGCTCAAGGTCCGACAGCTTCCAGGTGGCCTCAGAGCGCCCCATCTGGGAGCCAGGCGTGTCGGGCTTCTTCCAATCCTTGAAGGAAGGAGAGACAGCAGAAACTTTCGTAGATTCGCGCTGATTTCTTGGATCTGAGCTGGAACCCCTTCCCTGAGGCAGACGCGCCGCCAGGGGGGCCCAGCCCAGACCTAAGAAATCCGCGCGAACCTCCGAAAGTTTACGTGTGTATACTTATGCAGTTTCTCCGTTCTCGACATCCAGGCACAAGGAAAAGAGCAGGCCCGTGACCGACGCCGGCATCAGGGACAGCACGATGTCGGACAGGCTGGTGGCAGCTGGCCCAGCCGCACAGCTGGGCGGCACCGGGCTCGCCCCCCCTGGGGGCGCTCGCCGGACAGGTCGTCACCGTCTTCCGGCAGCTGGTGCCATGAGACACTCGGCGAGGGCGAAGCCGAGCCTGTCTGGCACACCCGAGGAGACTACGGGCAAGAATGCGCACGATGCCCAACAACATCAGAGCGACGATCACAAGCGGGTCTTGCGCGAGATGGCACAGCGACCTTACTAGGGCTCCCAACTTCGCGCTTCGCGCTCCGCGAAGCGCGAAGCGCGAATAACTTCGCGCTCTCGCGCCGCCCCCCCAAAGGGAGAATAGGAGGACGAGGAGGAGGGGGAGGAGAAACGAGGACCGCGAAGCGCGAAGCGCGAATAACTTCGCGCCCTCGAGGGAGCCCTTGGTCTTGCGCGAGATGGCACAGCGACCTTACGACCCGGCTTACGGAGGCCACCAGCGCGGCACGCCACATTGGAGGCCAGGGCGCTGACGCGCGACCTGACGCGGGCAACTCGCGCGCCAATGTCGGCGCATATCAGGGGGACGTAAGACCCGGGTACGGAGGACTCGGAAATCCCCGACGAGGTCGTCAAAAAAATGACGAGGCCGAGCCTGCATTTTGACGAGGCCTCCCGCTGCAGACATCCCACGAAACTCCTCCTCGTCAAAATCCGAGTCGCGGTCGTCAAAAAACGATGGCGAACCCGAGTCCTGGCAAACCCGGGTCTTACGCTCCCCCGAGCATACGAACACGCGTTGTCCAAAACTGACAGCGGCTTCTGCCCCACGTGGGCATGCACGGCTGCCGCTAAATTCGTCCACATCCTTGCCGCTCCCACTTTTGAGTATCATTTAACCGATCCCCATACCCACCAGCGTGGGCTGGGCCCCACTGGCCGATTTACCCCCCTGAATGGGGATATAGGCTGCTCTCTTCGGGTTTCGAGGGGCGTGTCCCCAACTGAGGTGTTGAGACGGTGGAGCTCGAGCTGTAGGTGGGGATGGGCATGGGGATCGGTGAAACGACACCGAACCTCGAGCGTGCCCAAAAGCCTCGCCGCAGGTCCTTCGGCGAGCCCGCCCAGAAGCCCCTCCCCCAGCTCCTCGGCGACAGAAACCACGGCTGGGCCCTGCCGCCGCCGCCTCTCGGCGAGAGGCGCACTGGGTGCGGCTGCGCGCCCGCCGCCGCGCGCGCCGCGGCGCCCCCCGGCAGGACTCTCGCCAGGGCGCCCCGCGGCGAAAGCCACGAAAGCCCCTCGCGCTCGGACCTCGACGCCCGCGGCGAGGCCCCCCCCGCAGGAGGCCGTCGTCCTCCACGGGGCACCCGCGGCGAGGCCGGCAGCAGCAGCCGGGGCACCCGCGGCGAGGCCCCCCCCGGCAGGAGGCCGTCGTCCTCCACGGCCGGCCCTGGCGAGGCCCTCGGCCGCGCCGGTCGGGGGGCGTGCGGCATGGCCGGCGCGCCGCGCGGTCGCGGTCGGCACGCGCTCCGGGCCGCCCCCCGGAGGCGAGAGCCGCCCTGAGGCAGCTGGGTGGCCACGGCGGGGCGGATGACGAGAGGGGGATCTGGGAGAGAATAAAGCGACGCGAAGATCGGGACAAAATCGGATCGGGATGACT